TTATTCATCAAACCTCCACACACAGCAGCTATCCCACATAAGCTTTCCTCAACTATCTAACTAACCCTAAACAGTTACACCGTAACCTGTAACACTAAACCATTTTCATGAGAGAACATAGTTCTCTACAATAACAATAAATCAAATAAAGAATTGATGCAATTCAAACATCACTAAATTCCCTTAACAATCAAAGGATAATTAACGTCAGTGCTTGCAAATGTAAGCTATGAATTTATCAACACTTTTTGTGCATTAATTTATATTTTTATGCTATATTATTTGTTAGTTTAACAACTTCTCTGATTTATTCTATACTTCTTTCTAACCATAAGGGGTCCCTCCAGTTCTAACATATGAGGGTTTAGTAATTCAATAGTTTTAAGTTTATCCTGCCTTTACCTTTAGATAATAAACTCCTAGAGGCTGGGAATTCTTTATTCTGTACATTTCTTCTCTATCACAGTGTGCTCTACCAAGCAATACAGTGGTGGGCAGAGAAGGATTTTAAGGATATCCTCCAACTCCCACTCCAGCACTTGGCATAATATTTTGCATAGCAGGTGCTCAATACATATGTATTAAATGTTAAACACAAATTAAATGATGAAATGGCATGAGAGTATGTATGTGGATAGGAGTATGTGGAGAAAGAATTGAGAAGATGAAGGTGATGAAGGTGAGAAGCAGACAGCGAGAGGAAAAGGAGAGAAGTAAGAAGGTAAAGAAACTATATATGGATTCTCATCTTCCTCTCTCCTCCTCTTTTCTCCTTTTCTCCTTCCCTAACCATCAGAACTCTATCCTATGAAAATATAGTTCTCTAAAGCTCTGAGCTATGATCTAGCCTCATAAACAATTGGCAACATGTTTGAGGACGGTGGCTCAACCCTGTATTTGGCCTTCACAAGGCTATAACTGTTATATATACACAAATATACATGATCAAAATGTATAAATGGCTAGACATAAATACATCATACATTTATCCACACAAACACAGACTAAATGCTTAATAAATATTGAGTGAATGAATGAATAAATAAAGCTGAGCTGCCAGAATCATCATCCCTAAGGGGCTAAATTTTGTAAAGTCAGAAATTTGATTTTATGAAATCACCTAGTATATATCAGGTTCCAGGGAACTGAATCATATGACTAAAATCGTAAGAGAATAACTGGTGAATGTACAGGTCAGGTGTAGGTATGAATATATGACACTGATTCAGTAATTAATTACAGTAGCTTTTATTTGTTCACAGAAGTGGGCAGATCTATTTGGGAAGCACACTTAATTTGAGGGGCAATTCATAATGTAAAGTTCAATTAGAGATGCTGCATTATCTTCAGAGGATTTTTGTTAAGGATGGCCCTCTAGAGAACAAACACTGTCTCTCTAGAGCAGAGTTGGACTATTCTATCTTATTAAGACTTTTCTTAATAAGACTATCTTATTCTACCCTTCCAGAGTTTGAGTCCCAGCTTCAAAATTCCCCCAGTTCTTCCTTACTTTAGATTCACCAATGATTAATAGAAATGCAAATAATTACAATTATCACCTAGCATTAATCAAATGCAGAGTTTACAATTTATGACACTTAAGGAAACATTTTATATCTACAAAATGTAGTTGTTAAAAATCTTGTATCAAGAAAGTCACTCTTTCATAGACTTTGACATCCTAAACTTTCTTCATCTTTACCTATTGATATTGGGTGTGTCTTGCTTTTGTGGTCTGTAGCCCATAATATTCACTGATTTCACAGGAGAAAAAAAAGGTTAGTCCCTTGAAGTTTAGCCACTCTAGGAGAAACAACCAAAGAAATGTCCACTTTGGTTTTTCCAATGCTAGATTTGCTTGAGAGATAAAATGCTTGCTAACAGGATGTGAGTATACCAAAGGATGAGTGATAAGAGGACTGACCAGTTCTATTGTCCCTCTCTCTATCTGGATATAATGATTAAACTATTACCTCTGTCCAAGAAGATAAGGTTACAAACAAGAAAATGGATAAAATATTGGAGAGACAAGTCTAGGCCAGGAGGATAACCAGACAATTTTGAGAGAGAAGGGCCTGAATATACAACACACAATGGTTGTGAGCATAACACAATAGAAATCTTAAGTAATATGATTCTAGCACAAGAAAAACTAACAGTAGTTGTAGAATGGATTGGAAGAAGCAGCAAAATAAATCTTCAAACCCTAAAAGGTATGTTGAGTTGGGCAGATTATTTATTAGTCATATCAAAAAATAGAAACGTAGTTTTTAAAGTACAAGTAAGGGAGGAAAAATGAACCAATTCTAGTCTTCTTGACTAGAGACTCAAAAATCATCTGTATCTGCCTTGATAGAAATGCTCACAAAAACATTACCACATACTTTTCACTTGATTGAATTTTTAAATTCATAGATTTGGTTATTTTCCTATCTATTCCTATCTACATCCCCATCTATTTTCTTATCTATGATTGTGCCTTTTCTCCTCCTCAATGATTCTCTGTTTTTGTTAAGCCCTGAAGAGACACTTAAAAAGATGATGATGGGAATCAAGTGTTGTATGGCTAAGGTGACTAAATAACATTCTTTTAAGGTAATTAGCTCTATCTCCAAACTATTTAGCATAGTTTGGGGGAAGGAGGTAGATGAGGAAGGCCAGGCTCTCAGTTGTCTGGAATAGATGGGTATATACAGAAAGATATATATATTCGCTTTCCCCACCCACCCGCACCACCAAATTACCCCAGTTATACCAATTAAAGATTTATTAAGTTTAACAAGCTCCTACATTCAGAGATGTTAAAAACCCTGGAAGTAACTTTTAATTGCTTTGGACTTATCTATAGCTAGCTGAGATTTTTTACAAACCAATTTTATTTAGGTAGCACAATATTTTAAAAAGAAAACAAACAAATGAAGCCTTTAGGCAGAGCATGTATTCTCTAATTCACCAGAGGCCCTACCACTCCTTACTGTCTTATACTCACACACTTTAAACATTATACCTAATTGGTCCCTCATGACAGGTATAATGCCCTGTTTGGGGAACGCACTGTTTGAAGAATATTTTGCTCTGTTTGGGGAAGATAGCTAAGCTAGGTGGAGTCTGATACTGGGGTAGGGTAAGGTTAGCTGGCAGGGTGATGAGTAGACAACGTAAAATACCAAATAATGTTAAAGGGCATGAAATAGAAGATGGGAAGGGTAGGGATCAGTAAAGGACTTTGCCTACTATGCAATAATTTTGCCAAGTTCACAGCTGATCACATCACTCTTGCTTTCATCATAGAATGTATGATACCCAGACTGGTTGGGAAGATGAAAAACCTCAGGCTACCTCAGTTCTAACCCCGACAGCCAAAGCATCTTTCAGTTCAGCTCAGTGGGTCTCCATTTGGTCCCTAATTCTCCCCAAATTTTCCCCACTTCAGGAGAGGAAGAGAGAAAGAAAGAGTAAGAGGAAAGAAACTGAGAGCTACATTCCAGTAAATGGCTACTGATAGGTAAATAGGACACTTATTCTTATATAAGACCCCCATCCCTTGCTATCTTATTATGAAGACTTCAAATTCTAGAGTGCAATAAATACACACATGTGAATGTGTACGTGCACACACATACACAGCACTCCAAACAAATATGGGTTAGCCGTGGATATATGAAGCCATGGACAAAAATGTTGATATCAATTTGTAACAGTAATTTTAAGAGACGTCTTGGTTTGTTACACTCAGTAGTTTTGTTCTAAGGTCTACCAAAATGTCTTTTAATTAGAGAATCAGAATATTTTCAAATTTATACTATCCATAATTTTAACTAACACCCATATTAACTGACTCAATAATATTAGAGAGTCATGCAAATACCATATGATTTCACTCATATATGGAAGATAAACACAGGTATAAAGAGAACAGATTAGTGGTTACCATAAGGGAAGGGGCTGGGGGTGGGTGGGTGAAAAGGGTAAAGGAGCACATAGGTAAGGTGACGGATAAAAACTGGACTATTATTGGTGAGCACGATGTAGTCTATACAGAAACTGATAAACAATAATGTATACCTGAAAGTATACAATGTTATAAACCATCTTGACCTCAATAAAATAATTAAAAAATATATTAGAGAGTTGTGATATACAGAATACCATATATATCCTACATACATATATATCATTAGGAAAAGTAGCGTAATTCAGGCAATATTTCTCCAAAGTATGTTCCATGGAATATTTTTCCATGGGATGATAATAGGTCTCTCTCTCTCTTACATACACACACAGTTCAATGATTAAACAAGGCTGGTTATATAATTTGTAGGGACCATGCAAAATGAAAAAGTGAGTCCCTTTGTTAAAAAACTAAGAATTTCAAGATGGCGACAGCAGAGCATTAAACTAAGCATGGGTCTCTTCTAAGCCTGGGGCCCTATGCGACTGCATAGGCTGCACACCCCTGAAACAAACCCTGGTTAAATGGTTTAAGAAATGCGGGGTTAAAAAGTGTTATACAGATTTTGTTGCAGCAGAACTTCTCAGAGCCTTTTATATGCTAATGCGTATTGTGAACCTTCAAGAGGTACATACACTGTAGAGCAGTCCTCAAATATATTTGACCAAGCTCTTTTGAATTATTATAAGGGTCATCTTGTAGAAGCAGTGTTCCATAGAACACACATTGTAAAATGCAGCTTAGGCTGTGCAGACAGCTCGTATCTGGTTTAACATCAATTTGTTAGTTGTAAATCACATATGGCATTTTCCCCTATTTGGAATGAGCTAACTAGAGATAACTATAAGTTCATATGGTGTGGGTTCACTAAATCTACTGTCCTTCACCATCTGGTCTTTTAATATTTGGAAGGTCAACTCAGTGGCCAAACATCGCAAATGTTTCTGGGCCAGCACCCTAGAGATAGTCTGACTGAGACTATATCCCAAGCCAACTTATTTTTCACCCTTCATCTTGTCAATTGAGAGGAAATAACATCCTTACTTACCATTACCCAGTTCCCAAGAAATGTTGTACTTTTTGCTGGCACTGTACTTCAACAGACTCAAGGCACTAGAACTGTTCCAGGAGTTATTGGGATTACGACGCAGTGCATTTAGAGCAAATATCAGGTGGAGTCCAGAGCAATCAGCGAAGTTATAAAGTTTATCTAGAGACCTGGCTGGGAAGAAACAGAGAAAGGCTTGTAACTTTCAAATCAACATTCCAACAAAAGGAAAATATTAGCTACTACAAAAAGCCTTCCTATGAGCTTCCTGTTAATAGGAATTACAGATAGGCTTCTAAAAGGGACTATTACCTTTTGATTCGGGGTAGATTTCAAGGTGATTTTAGAAAGCAGCATACACAATTCCAGCTAGAGGTTGCAAATTGGCAACCAAGTTTAGTCCACAGTATGTTTTGTTAACAAAAAAATTGAATTGCTAACATTTAAAAATGGGAAGATATATAAGGTAGCTAGATTTCTAGCTTTTCTTGAAAAATCAGAAGATCTGGCCTGGCTGGTTCTGTATTTTTTTAATAAAATCATAGGAATAGTGTTAGGAGACAGGCTAGGAAAGACGATTGGCTGGTGAGTTTTGGAAAATAGCTCAGCCTAGCAGCACTTCCAAAAAAATTTCAGTTGATTCCACATTTCTAATATTTCTGAGAAGGGAAATACAATAACCATTCGTAGAAATATGTACATTGTCAGGTTGATCCCAGATACCATCAACTCTATTCACCGTGTGTTCCATACCCATCCGATTCCTTCATTTCTACTGCCACCATTCTGGTTCCGGCTCTCATTTCCACTTGCATGAATTGTCACAACAATGTCTGTACTTGCCTGTCTACTCTTCTAAAGTCTCCCCATCTTGCCAGATTCATCTTCCCCCTATCACTTTCATCAGTTTTCCTCACCCTTCAAAATCTTAGTGGATTTTCAAGAACTTTTTTTTCCTTAGTTCAAGGCCTCTTCAACTCAACCATAATTCCCCTCCCCACCCCTGCTTCAGGCCTCTTTATTATTGTCAGTGAGTTCTTTGTTGGTGTCAGCCAGCTCTATTTATTATAGAATCTCCTGTCCCATTGGCCTTTGCTCTAATTATTCTCCTCATTTGGCATGCCTTTTTTCCTCCTTTAAATATATTCAGATCTTACTTGTCCTTTTAGGAGTGTTTCCCAATGTATGGATGACATGACTTTAAGAGGTATACAGACTGAAAAAAAAATTTTAGGTTATTAATTATGTACAGGAGTTCACATTATCCTACTATTTATTATCCAAGCCCTAGAGCAGGGTTTCTCAAATGGGATTCTAAGGAACACTGGGAAGAGGAGTTCCACAAGATGTCACTAGGGAGTGCACAAAAGATGACAGAGTGACCAAGGTGCCCCAATAGCAATTGTTATAGGTTTTTTAGTCCTATAACGCAGGACCATGATCATTTGGTTGAGTCCATTATCAGTTTTTGAAATGGGATATAGGGGGCTGCCATTTTCATCTTCTCATGTATGAGAAAGTATTTTTTAAGAAGCATCAAAGACAAGAACAGAAATTGTCTCATTTCAGTTGAAAATAAAATCCATAGGAACTTATCTCACACTCAAACCAGAATCAAGTAACTAGGCAACAACAAAAGGCATAAGTTTCACATTAAAGAAATAAACAATTATCTACTTTTAGTTCCAAAAGAGCAATTAAAATTAAAATGCATTTATAGGCCTACTATAGTGATCATGAAACCAACACATGTATGTATTAATTTCAGAGTTATCTACATGAGCCTGACCATGCCATTCAGTAATAAAATGGTTTCTTTCAAACTCTTATACAAAATTTTGTCTTAGGCTATAATTTATTCATATTGCTTTGATGTATAGTTTTAGTAACTTTACTATTCAATACTGTTAATTTATTTTATATTGAAAACAATATTAATTAAATTCATAAACTTTATTTAAATAAACCTAACAAGCCTACCTTTAAGAAAATTATATCTCATTTTGGCTTAAACAAGTTACTTAACAAAACCATACTATGCCTCATAAGGTTTCAAATTCATAAAAAGGAAAGAAAAGGATTAATTTCAAGAAAGTAAGTTAACTACTTTTTTTTATTTTCAAGAAAGGTTGTCTAAAAAGTCATTTTTAGTTTTAAATAGGAGGGAAAAAAACCTATCCTTACACTTACTGTATACCACATACCATACCTCAACAGCATTTGTATGACAGAAATTCGTGATAAGACTTTTAGCCCTACTCGGGTAAGGTACAAAAAAATCAAGTAGGAAATTTTAAAAAGGAAAAACTGAAGTTTCTTCTATCTATACCACTGACCTACATTAGAGTCAGTATCCTTTGTGGGGAGGGGGAACCTACAAAAGAATAGACTAAAAGAAGTTGGCATACTAAACAGATTCTTAGGGAAATATCACTCTCTATTTAAAAGACCATTGGCAATTACTATTGGATTACATCCACAACTAAATGATCGCACTGACATACTATGAGCTTGAGATATAATTTTTATCCAGGGGTTCCCTGAGACTTGAGAATTATTTCAAGCGTTCCTCTGGCATAAAAAGTTTCAGAAGGCTGTCCTAAAGCTAAGAGATGCATAGGAAAATAAAAGTCATCCTAATACCAAAATATTCACTGTTGAACTGAGAACTGAATTAAACATTCCTTCCACTTGGCAACATCCTCACTAATCAAATCAATGATGTTTTCAATTTCTCCAGTATAATGCAAACCCAGTATAAATCTACCCAAAGTTGCAAATCTGAGCAAAAGAGGCAAGATTTCACGAGATCAATGAAAATAACGTCTGATAACCGCTCAAAACACACGCAATCCACTAGCAAATAAAGCTCTTGAAGAATTAGATCAATTAACTGAACAAGAGAAAACTCACAAGGATGATAATGAAATAGGCTGCTCAAAAAATAATTGAAATATTAAGATCAAGAGAGGTCTATTTTGAAGTCTTTTAATATTTATGATGGTGCCACAAAAGGTATTTTATCAGAAAAATACTCAATATTCAACTAAACAACATTTTATGCATTCAAATTGTTCACAGTTGCAATGACAGCTTATAATTTGCTAAGTATATAATGAAATATACTTATTTTCAAAATTTTCATGTGTCATTTATAAACTAAAATCCTAATCAAACTTTTGCATCAAAATTTAATGTGAATGACTGAAAACTTTTTTGGTAGATTGATTCCCTTTAAGTGGCCTTTTTCTAGAACTAATTATCTCCACATAATGAAGATTTCCTGTGTTTGTTTCACATGCATTAGAAAAACAAATATGTATCAAACACAAACATAAATCAAACCTGTGATTTCTTGGATTTGGTGGTTTAAGACAAGGTAAAAGGTATTTACCCCAAAAAAGGTGTCAATGTAAAGAAAAGTGTGGAGAAATAACAATATAGATGGTTTGTTAACATGGCAAAAATTGAGAACTAGAGTGCAAATTTGGGAAATACTTCATTAAGGATAAGTTTAAGTCCTGCCTCCTCCATGAAGCCATTCCTGAACACACCAATCTCCCTACTGTGACCTCAACCTTCTCTAAACTCAGGGTCTACCATTTGCTGGTATCTGAGTGCCTTGTGACATCTCCTGTGACACTGTCTTACCTTGGGTATTTACCTCTTAGTCACTTCTCTAGAGTGAATGTTTACCCAGTTAAACTGTGAAGTTCTTTAAGGCTGGTACTATATCTCATTATATCCTTCACAGCATCTATCAGAGAGCAATTTCCTGCCTTAAAATCATGCTGAAGAGTTCTCCAAGTCCAAATCCTTTTTGTTGCATAAAAGTGGTCTAGTAAGAAACTGAAAGGTCCCAAAGAGAGATCTGTGTAATAATTATTATTTCTAGTTCAAGAGATGTACTCTAGAGTTTATTAGAAAATTACATATATCTGAATATAGAGCATTTAGTAGCTGCTCAACAAATGTAATCTTCCTTGGAACATTTGCTGTCAGGTTCCATTCAAGCAAGCCGATACTTAAAGACGATTTTCTACTCTCTCCACCAGAGGGTGCCAATGCCTCTCTGTCCTCCAGTCAGAATGCCTTGGCATCTCATAGGAATATAAGTCTAAGGAGCCCTGTCTAGCAGGCAGTTGAGGAGGAGGAACTGGGGCTTGAGGGAGATGTAAGAGAGAACAGCCTTGCAAGTTGTCTATATAGTGCTGATAGCTGATGCCGTGAAGGCTCTTGAGACTTCCGAAGAATAAAATGGCTGAGGACAAAACTTTGAGAAATGTCCACACATAAAGGTCAGGAAGAAGGGGAAAAAAAAGGTCAGGGAAGAAAGAGGAGAATCAGAATAGTAGTCTTAAGGAACCCAAAAGAAGACAGTTTCAAGGAGGAGCTGGTCAATGACAGTAGGTGTTGGTGAGAAATTGAGGAGAAAAAGGACTGAGAAAAAAAGAAGCTATTATGGTTAATCAAACAGTGAGGTTAGAAACTAGATTTAAAGTGGGGGTGTGAACTTAAAAAATGAGTGGTAGAGGAAAAGGAATAGACTGTGGTAAACGAACTTACTTCTTGAAATTCTGTGGCAACAAAAGGAAGAAAAGAAACAAAATAGTAACTAGAGAAGCACCAGAGATAGGTTAAAAAAATTAACCAAAATCTAAGACCTCCATCTGTTGAAAAGCCGTTTCTTCAATGAGGCTAATCTCAGCTGTATATTAGAAACAGGTAGGATCAATGAATTTACAATAAGATATGAATGACGGTCATTTACCTTAGTTTCCTCAGGTGTTGGCATTTTAAAAACAAAATAGACAAACAACAATCCAAAATACAAAAAATAGGATTCTCGTTAAATTAAGCAACAGGCTGGCTGGAATTTCTAGTAGGATTCATTCATTTATTCAACAAATATTTATTGACCACTTACTATATGCCAGGCAAGATTATAGTCTCTAGAGTCACAGCAATGAACAAAACAGAAAACAAGTCCTAGCCTCATGGAGTTTACATTTAATGTGGTTGCAGTGGGGGTCGATGGGGGAGGTAAAGCAACGTAGGGGAGTCTAGAACCAATGTGGGTGGTATGCTATAAACCTCACTGATAACGTAACATTTGAGTAGAGACCTGATGGAGGTGAGGGAATAAGTCAAGTGGACAACTATGGAAAGAA